GACCCAGAACTGGACACAATACTCCAGATGTGGCCTCACCAGGGCTGAGTAGAGGGGCAGGATCATTACATTTTTAATGTAATTATGGTTGTCACTGAGTGAAAAATGAAAAATTTGGGATCCTTTTTACTGACAGTCTAGCTATACACTATAGTTTTCAAGTATATTCAAGTATTATTCATCATTTCTTTTACAGTTAGGAAAGAATGAAACCTTGTCTCTTTAGCAGTTCTTTATACCACTTTAATAGCCTTCTGAAGCTTAACAACTCATTTTCGCCTACCTTGTGTGCCATAAAAAGACTTTAATAGACTTACCCCATTTGAACTTTGATCTCTCATATTAAGCTCAGGTCATTCAAATAAATTTTGTTTTACACCTACCACAAAATTTCAAAGTAGAGTTCAGCAAGGTCCAAGGACCTGCTGCCTCTCTGTAATACAAAACTCCTCTTTTTACAGTGCTACTGATGATGCTATTTATTGGAAGGGATCCTGATGCTTACTGAACGATAAAACTGCTGACATTTTCCAATGTTTTGGAAGTTAAGATAAATATAAGTTTTTCTCTTGTTAATAAATTATATTAACTGAGTCTATTGCAACTGTCATGCTTGCAAATGATGTCACGGTTTAGAGATCTGAATATTAAAACATGTTATTCTTGTACTGTTCAAGGACAGCAACACAATCTCTTTTACCTTCCTTCATCACTGGGTCTCAAACTTTATCTGGAGCAACAGTTCTGCCACTTCTAAATATTCTCTTTTGATCCATGATATCTGATAATTTCTCAGAGATTTCCAACTGCTGCATTCTGTGCTATCTGCTTAATCAACTATGCTGCTTTAGATGCAGAATTCTCATCTGAAGCTACTTGTTCCTCCTTGTCACATTGTCAGTCTTTATGGCTTTTTTTTTTCTTTCCCTTCCCTTGTAGCTTTTACTTTAATTTGATTTCCTCTGCCAGTGCTCTGAAGCAATGATCCAAATCATCTTTGCAGTTTTGGTTTGTCCATGTGATTAAAGTGTGCGATTAAGGAGTTGGCGTGAAGTAAAGGATACCTGAAAGCCAAGGTTTTGGTGGTTTCCCTGGCCCAAATAATGTAAAAGAAAACAGAGAGAAGGGAATTTAAGAGTTGCCCCTCAAGCTTTAGTTTACAAGGCATTGCTAGAACAGGTATAGTGCTGAAAAAAATTTGGGCGGAAATGTGCCCCCCAGGCAACTTTGGGAGACGGCTGCGGTAGAGACAGGCTTAGGCCTAAATTAAACTTGAGACACAACCAGCAGCTGGATCTAACTGAAATCAGATGAGCACAAAGCAATAAGCATTAGAAATGCTTTAGAGCTTGAACTTTCCCTTTAGAGCTGCATTTCTTGTGTTCTCCTTTCACCTTTTGATGTATATCTTGTCTCCACAACTGGCCTGGGTACTTAGGAGAAGAACCAGGACTGTTCTGAGCTGACAGCCTGACACAGCATTTGACATCCCTCTCTTTCCTGTCTAATTTACCAGATTCAGAAGAAACAAAAAATGGCCACTAATTTGATTACTTATTTGGTCTGATAACTCTTATTGAACTCACGTTGAACAAAGCTGCAGGACTTTCCAAGTCATTTGAAGTAAACATGAAGAACATCTTCACTTAGATAAACACCTTTACTTTGAAGAATCTAAGTAAAAAGCATTATTTTCCTACTTGAAGAAAGGGAATATTTTTGTCTCTTATATTAGGAAGAAAAAGCAGACAAAAGAGACCACAGATATAACTTTGGTCATCACGTAAAATTATTTTTTGTTGTAAATAAAATCTCCAGTAGTTCTAAGCATGCTTAACTGATTCATTAAATGCATGTCCTTACTGAAAACTGACTCATTTTTATTTTCATAGAAATCTCATCGGCTACTGCAGTTTCCTACTCTTGTGTTCCCTTATAGAACATGTAGTAAAAAATGAAAAAAGTTTAGTGATTTAAAGCAGGAGAGGCATGGGAAAACCCCAGAAATAACACATTTAATTCCTAGATTTTAAAAGGACTTTTAAAATGTACTTTGTTTAATAAGTATGAAAAAATTGGAAAGTTCAAAGTGCTTTAAGAATGATTTGGTTTTTATTCTTATTGAAATTGAACAATAAAAAAAAGAAGGTTCCCACAGATTGAAAAACAGACACCCCTTTTTGTACCATAAACCAAAACAGATACAGAGGTTCTTTGTCTCATTTACGTTTACCACTCCATATCATCAGAGATGGAAACATCCACTATAATTACAGTAAATTCAGCCCTAAAGGGCTAATCAAGTTGATAGAGATGTCTCTGATGAAATAATATACAAAACCTGGGAAGATTTAGCTGGAGCTAAATAGCTGAACAAAAGATGAAAGTTTTTTTTGGAGTGACACAACCTACTAAATTGTTGAACCAAGAGAGAAAAAAAAGCAAGTTGTTGACAGAGGCAAAACTTTGAAAATGCAGGGCTTGATTTTTGGTGCAGGAAAGAGCAGGAGTTCAGAATTCACCAAATAGGAAAAGAATAATGTAGTTACCAAAGTTTGGATGTATGTGAGAATGTGTCATATGAAAATTTGAAAGCAGGGGGAGAAAAAATGAGGGATGACTAAAGTTGGAACCAGGATAATCAGCAGTAAGGATGGGAATTCAGAAGAAAAACAAAAGAAAACTGGCTGTCATAATGGCAGGTTGTAAGCAACAAGTGGATGGAGTAGAGCACAATGCTACATGTTCTGCTGTGCTCTGAAATGTTGGTGGTTCATCTCAATTCTAGAGGTTAAAAGGAGAAAGGTGTGAGGAGAGCAAAGAAGAAGAAAAATTTATATACATATATATATATTTTTTTTTCAAGGGAGGGAAAATATTTGGTCAGAAAAAGAAGTTCTAGAGCAAGTCAAATTATTGGACAGCTTTTGGATAATGGTGTCTTTGTGTGACTGCATGAGGAAGTATAGTTGTTTTGCCAGCATAGTAATATTAGGTTTAAAGAAGAAATATTATATAATTGATAAAATCAACATGTATTTTAATTTAGATTAGTGATAAAGAGAGAAGGAGCCTTTCTGGCAGTAAGTCCATAAAAAGTCCAAATAAGGCCATATTTCAACATAACTAATAAAATGAACCTCAACTCTTATTAAAAAAAGAAAAAAAAAGGAATAAATGATAAAAATTTTTAAGATAAAAAAAGCTTGAAGTCATTTTGCATTATAGATCATATCTTATCTAAAGACAAATTGCTAGAGGGTTATTCTATTCTGTACACCATGTAACAAGAAGGGATTAAAACTCACATAGCATTTGGAATTTGTTGAAAAACAAATGACTGGTAGGAAACATCCAAGGTTCTCTTCTAACCCCAGATAAATCACTACAAATACAAATAACCTAAAATTTTCTCTTACCTAGGGATATATTTTGAAATGGAGAAGACTGTTCTAGCAAGGGTAAGGGAGAATTGCTCTGTCCTGTTATTTTCCAAAAACCAATTATTTATACATACTTAAAAAACCTTTTGAAATCACAAATCCAGCAAATTTCATTTAAAATGAGCTGCATGTAATAGCTTCAGTGTCTGAATTCTATGAGAAAACAAAACAAAAGATAAATTCTGGCATTTTTTTCCCAAAGAATTCAAACTCTGAGGCTATTACATGCAGCTCATTTTAAATGAGCCAAATTTTTGGGCAAATGTTTCAACTCAAGAACCCAAGGTACTAAGCCAGTGTGGCTTTGTTGATAGTCACAGAATCAGTGGGTCATGTAGTTTGGAGAAGCCTCCAGAAGTTGATTCCAACCTCTTGCTCAAAGCAGACATGGTTAGAGTAGGTTGCTCAGGCCTTGCCCAGTTGAGTATTGAGCTAACTCCAAAATACAGCAGTTCCACAGGAGCCCCAGGACTTGCACTGGCCAGCTGGTACAGAGGTACTTTGAGACAGCAGCTGCTTCTTCATTAGTTCTTTTTTCAGGGGTGATACTTTCGATTCTTACCAATTTTATCTAGTTACATGTAAAGTTATGTGAAATGCAGATTCATTATTGTTTTATAAGTATAAATCAGGATAGACTACCCAAGAAGGTGAAGTTAAGCTGATACAAAATGAAAAACTGAAAATGTATTATGTTGGTGATACGCTTTTTACTCTGTTCTCAATATATCTTCTCTTTTCTTTAAGAGGTGAAGGCACGGATACTCTTGGCACTTCTTGAATATACAGGTAATTTTGTTTACAGGCAACCTTTAACTTGTTTGTTTTGAGAGAGGGGAAGCAAATGGGGTGGTGGGTAGGGCTAGCCGTGTTTAGTTGTCTAATGACTGAACTTGTGCGTAGGATTTCTGCCCTTTTTGGTTTTGAGCCCTTTCCTATTTGTTATCTATTTTTAATTCTCTTTGTTACCATCTGTTTTCAGACTCGCCTTATTGTTCTAACCCATATCTTTCCTTCAGTTCTTTTCATTTTACCTAAACAGTATAAGGTAAGTAGCAGCAACTGTTCAGTTTTTAGAAAATAATACTTACGGCAGGTGATTCACTGCAGCTTTTGCAGATGCATAAGTGCCAAAGCAGGTGGTCACATTTTGACTCTAAGAAATGATTAATGTAATCACTGACCACCAGATGAACTTAGATGACTTTCTTAGGATACATCACAACATTGTATGAAGGGAAGCATAATGTTTCTTTCTATTCTAGTTATTCTAAGAGTTATTCATAATTCTTCAGAGAATAAAATAAGAAATGACCCAAGAAAATACCAGAGGCATTTTTTTTAAAAAGACTGACTTTGTAATTTACATGGCTAGATAAGTTCATAAATTCTGTAGTTTATTTTGCATAAAAGCTTTTTTGTAAATGGAGCCCAAATTGCTCTTGTGTTCAGTATTTCATATTCAAGTAGCGTAAGATGAGGTTTGGAAATGAGTTATTAGAGATGCAAAAGGGCTGCTTCAGAAGCTGGCAAGACAGAGGCACTGAGAGCAAGATCCGTTTGGAAAATCGAGATAAAATTGAGCAAAGTGAGGTGAGAGAGTATGTCAGGCTCAAATTCCTGAGCACTGCTATGATGTTGGAAAGATGTTTTTGACCATGGAGAACCCAGTGTGATTTTTGAAGATGGAAGCATTTTTAAAGGTAAAAAAACCTGTAAATATTGGATTATACAGATCTAAGCTTGGAGAAAGAGGTTAATTTCAATGATCAAAATAATAAAAATAAAAGAGTCACACTGTAGAAGTAGTGGTGATTAGACCTTCTGTGGAAAATATCCTCAAGGTCCTGAGGAGTACACTTAAAAGAGGTTGACAGATGGGATCAAAGTGACAGTAAAAATGTGGTCAGAATTACTAATACTTGAAGAAAACCTGAAAGTAGAGTTCAAAAGGGAAAAAAGACAGAGTGAGGTTGCTTTGGAAAATACTTGCAGTCCAAATGAAAGATATATTTAAAAGTCAGTTTAATTTTGTGAGTATAGAATTGTTCCCGTTGACTAATCCAGTCATCTAAAGTCGTGTCAGCTCCATACCAAAGGTAAAAAGGAAGATAAACCTCTTGCAAGCAGATGAGTATAAAAGTAAAGACAAAAATTTCAGTCTTGATATCATCAAATCTTCCCCTCTTCTGTGAAAAAAGATTAAGTTTGCCTGTAACATTTGTGATTGACGTTTGCCTAACTGTTCATAATGATGAAAATGCTTGAACACTTTCAAGAATGGGGAGAAGGAGGGAGTGTTGAATATTAAACACCACAGTTCTGTACTTTATTGAGAATAAAAAAGAACCTTTGTTTCCTCCTAAGGAAACCATTTTTCCTTTGCCCTTTGCTCTCACTGGTAGTAGTGAGAAATATCTGCGGTATCAATGTATGAGAAGAAATCCGTTAACAGCCTTTCTGACACATAAGAGAGTTTAGGCAGAAATATATATGAAAAATTAGAGAGTTCTTTAAGAATTAATTTAAGAATTAAAAGGGTTAGAGCAATGGAATTAGAAGATAAATTTTCTACTTGTTTTAATGCGAGGACGTTAGTGTTGAGGTGGTTTAAGTTGGTTCAAGTGTGCATCCTCTGTGAAAAGTACAAAGGGATGCAGCTCTGCTCAATTCCTTTATCAGCCTTCAGAGCCCTCGTTAGGAAAAAAAAAATGCATGTAACTGAAAAAATTACTCATTGGTCTTTGATGCACTAGATACTGAATGAAAGAGCAAATGATCAAAGAGTCCTGGTGACACCCGTCAAGGATGAGTTTTAAAGGAAGATCTGCTACTAGCCAAGTTCTGCTTCTCAGCTTGTTAAGCAGACTGGTCAAGGAATTGAATGTCCCAGGACCTTCTTTTTCCTTCTTCTCCCCCTTTTTTTTTTTTTTTTTTTTTTTTTTTTTTTTTTTGACTTTCCCTTTCTAGCTTTTAGCTAATCATATGTCTGTGCCTTTCTGAATAAATGGATAGGTTACCTAGTCCTTTAAAGCAAGTTGTTCACAGTTCTGTTGTCTTCTGCCTCTGGACCTGTCTTGGACTTTCCTGATTCCATAAACCAGCTGCTGCCTGTATATGTGCTGCTACTCTCTGCTTATTTTATGTATTTTGTATTTATATTTAGGTGGCTTGTGTTTGATTAGCAACACTCATGTTTGATTTCTGTAGCTTGTTCTTATAGTAGAACAAAGAGATATAGCTCACATCCATCACCTTTTAACATTAAAAGTACACAGAACTGAGGTCAAGTACATTAAAATTAACAGTAGCATGCATGTTTGAGAAGAACTACTTTAAATTTCAAATTGTGATTTTTTATATATTTTTAGAATAATAAAATAGTACTTTAATGTGGATTTTTTCAGTTTTGTCTGCTACTTACTGGGAACAACATTAGGCTATAAACTTTGGTTTGTCTGGAAAACAAGTCATTTAAATGCAAAGAAAAAAAATCCACCCTAGTTATTTTGCTGTTGATGAATCTTCTGCTCCATCTCTGTTTTATTTTTCTTCTTTTGTTCTACCCTTTTCAGACAGTGAGATACAACTGAGGCGAGACATGGTCTTCTGTCAGAGTCTTGTGGCTACGGTCTGTGCTTTTTCAGAGCAACTAATGGTGGCCTTAAGTCAGATGTTTGACAATAGCAAAGAATATGAAATGGAGACTCTGGAGGCCAGCAGAAGGTGGTTGGAGCAGATTGCTAACGCGGGGGTTCTTCTTCATTTCCAGTCGCTGCTGTCACCCAACTTGGTAGGAGTCCTAATGTGACAATTAAAAAGCCCATGTTTGTTCCTTAAATAAGGGTAGTGTTAAACAGTTTGTTACAAATATAATTTTCTGTATCCTTTGTGCTTAGCCTGTTACTTCATTAGCTGCTATTTGGGAAGTTTGTGATTCAGATAGATACAGATATGGGATATGGATATATTATCCACAAACAAAATATTATATTTAATTTGAGTTAGCGGGTGCTGAGTTTTGTCTAGATTCCCCACAGTTATCATACTTGTTCCCTAAGAACGAGTGTCATATTATGTGATGGCTAGTGCTTGTTTGCAATGAGCAACACTGTAAGATAAAATACGTGTTTTTAATTACTTTTATCAAAAAAAAAAAAAAGTAGGTCTCTAGTAACTAGACACACTCATCTATTTTGCTTCTTTTAGAGCAAATCCTTATAGTCTGCCAGGATGATGGGAGGTCTGCTCTTTCCTCACAAGACTTGACGAAGTCTTGGCTTAAAACATAAAAGAAAACAAAGAAAAAAAGGACATGGGTTTATACTCTTCTATTCCCCTGCTATCCAAAGAGCTTCTTCAGCTGTTTAAGCTGCTTCTTGCACCAGACTGATTCCTGCTACCCTGGAAAACTGCAAAGTGGGTTGCACAGGCTGCCCTATGGCAGTCTACCTCTTGAGCTGCTCAGCACTAATAACTATTTTGTGCATTTGGCACATGGTTTTCGTGTACTAGTGTTTTTTCTGACCATGAAGCTTTTAAGTCATTTAATACTATGGCTGTGTATATATTGTTTAATTGAGTAAGCGTTGACATGGGAAAAGTCACAACCTAGTGACTGAATCATATATCTTGCTGTGTGAAAGTCCAAAGATGGGCAGTATTCCTAATATTGCAGCCTTTTGCCCTCTCTTCTGTCTCAGGAACCAATTGCTGAGAAGTCTTCCTGATAATCTTTTAAGGCAGGAGAGTTCAATAAAACTATTTTTTTTCCTAAATTAAATATCATATAAAATATTCTCCGTTTTTTTTTCCAGAGCATTGGCTTTCCTATTTTCATCCGAGACCAGAAATATGCATTATTGAATTTAATATAACTGTAGCAAGTTCTGTATATATATTTGTACAGGAGTTCTGAACTTCTTCAGTGATAAGCCTTCTCAACTAAAGGAAAAGCATTTAAAGGCAAAATTTTCAATACCTACTCAGCACTGTTTTGGTTACAAATGATCCATATTATTTTAAACAAGGGCATTTGAAGGAAATTGCACTCATTTTGGCCAGAGTTCAATAAAGAATGAACAGTTTTGCAAAAAAACCCCGTGTTACTGAATAGTTTTTATGCTATTCTGCTGATAAAACATTGCCCTATCCCTAGAGACTTAATAAATTGAACAAGGAGAAAAAATAGCAGAGTTGCTTTTTCAGCAATACAAGGGAGAATACTATTTCACTCTACAGATTGGGAAGAAAATCACATTTTTTTCCCCTCTCACTGCACTTTAGTAAGATCTGGTTTATTCTCATTTTGTAGGTAGCTAATTTATTATTCTTTGCCTTCTTGCTGTGTCAGTTCTTAAATGGGGAAAATGCATGTTTCAGATTTGTGTATGGCTCTTTGCTTGCTTAATGTAGTAGGGGAGGTGATATAGAATACAATTACTTATAGCGATTATTGATTTTTGCTCTAACTGTTCTGCATATTTAACTCAAGATAACTGTACTTGTAGATGAGTATTCCCCACCTTTATTTTTTTCTGTTTTAAAAAAGATTCAATAAAGTTTCCTAAGAGGGTGTTAATTTACTTTCTTGAGTTTTTATGAGAAATTAGGCTGGATTGCCCATGTCTTTGGTTTTATACAAAGGGAACCATATGAGCAAATCAGAACACTGGCATTTCTGCTACTTGATTTGGGATATTCTTGTAGGTGTAGGTGAAGATCACTTTGATCTGCAGGACTTTCGAGCTACTGGTTCAATTATTGATGCTTCGAATGGACATGATTTTTAGACATGGTCTGTTTAAAAATGAAATGCCAAAGTACTGGCATTTCTAAAAAAAAAATTACTAAAAAAGATTAATTTTTGTTTTTCAAATTTCCCCTGTGTTAGTTTACAAACTAGAAAAGCTGCTTAACTCTAGTGTCTTGCATTAAAAATAATTACATTATTGTTTTATAGAAAGCCTAAAGAAGTCATGGTAACTATAAAATACCTATTGTATTACTGTGTGAAATGATAAGATTCAGTGTATGAAAATCTTGGGATAGTAGTAAAAGGACAAGTGAAAAATGAATGGAGAAAGTATTTTGCTTATGTAAGAGTTAATGAAGTGCTACACTGCATTGGTGAAATATTGTGCAACACTCCCTAGTTTTTTTATATCCCGCTCTCATATGATTTGTTGCCTTTTTTAGGCTGATGAACAAGCCATGCTGGAAGATACATTGGTTGCACTGTTTGACTTGGAAAAGGTCACTTTTTACTTCAGACAATCAGAGCCAGAACCACTAGTTGCAAGTGAGTAAATAAAATTAATCTGAGTTTTACTCCTCGGAAATATGCTATATATTCTCCTCCTTTTTTTTTTCTTTCTCATAACATTACCTCCCACAGGTGATATGCTAGTTAGGAAGTGGCGGTACATAATTTGGGGTTATGGAATATTAGTAGATCCGTAGCTTTCTTAATATTCCTAGGTTTCCTAATAAACAACATCAGTTACAAGGCAGAATCATTATCTGCAACTTTGTAGCCTCTGAGGGAAAAAGTGTTTGTTTTAATGAAGTTTCAGCTGGGAGTATGTGACTGCACCAGGGAAGTGCCTGGATTAATTAGCTGCTATTGAAGAGTCGTGTCTCAAGGCCTTAATAAGCTTAAAGGCCTTAATAGAGAAATGGTGCTGAGATGAGAGGGGGAAGCATTAATACCACATGCATTGTAATGCTAGTCTTCCTTTCTGAAACACGATGAGGTTCTGGGCTGAGTTTAGAGGAGACAAATGCTATTAAGGGAGCTTTAAATTGTGCAAGCTGCTTCCTTCAAGACCTGGTAGTGGAGGCAATCAGGGACATGTTGGACCTTTCCTCCCGGTGCTCAGCCTGATCTCAGGAAGGGGCTGTCTTGGCAGTCTAGTGTTCATACCCTTCACTCACGTTCAGCCACTCCTCTTTTATGTGTTTTGGGCTAGCGGAGGTTTTCCTGTGGTGAATTTTGTATAGTGAGTAAGAAACCCCACATTTTTTCTAAGTCTCATAGCTCCCTTGGGAGGGGAGGAAAACGTTTCTGATTAACATCAAACTTTTAAAAAACAATTCCCTTGCTGGACTGAGACCACACATGAGAGAACTTCTGCAATAAGTAAAACTGGAAGAAAAAAAGCTCCTCCGCAAAACAACAGTGAGAGGTTCCCTGTGCTCCTCAGAACTCAGTAGTGCGCCCTAACTACAGTGTTGGAAGTGAGGTAGGACCTGGCCTGTGTAAGACCACTTTTACCTACGTATAGGTAAAGTCAGGCCTCTATTCATTTTAAATGGTTTGGTTTTAGAAAGAAGCCCTGCCAGATTAGGTAATAATACAGAACTGGAGTTTCGAGAGCACTCCCTAGTGTGAAGCTAATTATATACCTGTCTTCCAAACTGTTCAGATTGCTCTACCTCCCCGCTGAAGTGTCCGTGTTAAAATAGAGATAAATGAGAATGCCATGTGCTCCAGAATTGCAATAAACTCTGTTTTTCCTTTAATTTAAGAGCTGCCACCACAATCATCCAGAGTACATAGTTCCAGAAGACAAGCAGCTTTCCCTGGTGAATTTGTTTTTTTCTTTTATGGTTCTGTACGATCAATATAAGAAAAATATGTGAGAAATACACAACCTTTCTTTATAGATACAAAATGATTCATACACACAGTATAGGAACTACATAATACTATTAATACAAATTAGTGAATTTTATTGTTACTACTTTTGATTCTGAGACTCATTTATGTAAAAGATACTTAAACAGGAAATACAAACAAAGCTTAAATGGAATTAGCCTGACTTCCTCAGAGAATTTTAGCTGAACAGAACATTTTCATCAACTTTTTCTAATTGTCATTACATGCTAATCATCTTGCATAATACACAAAATGTATTCTGGAGATTCAGTGTAATTACCAAATGATACTGTTAGTTGCACTGGACTCAAAGCCGATTGATGTATTATGGTATTTAGCCTGTCAAGGATAATGAACTCTGCTCTTATAATTTTATATATATTCTGTCACAATGCATTTGTTTTCTGAGCTGAGTCCTGCTATTAATAATAAATGTTGGCAGCTGCTGTATATTTATTTGTGCCCTATGCCAGACAAATGTGGGTCTGTGGAGAGGGCAGTAGTATATCCTACACTGAGCTCATACATCATGTACATGACGAAGGCGTCTGACGCTCCCCTC